AAAAAAATAACTGTAGTAAGAAAAACAAATGAAAAATGCGAACTAATGTAACGTCGTATGGTGAGTTTTTGTTCGTATCGTGAAGCAAAAATATGTTCGAATTTCATGTCGTATCCTGAAAATTTCGTATGCTGGGGCGTTCGTAACCTGAGGTACCACTGTAATATAATTTTAAAATTTGATTATTAATTTAGTAAACTCAAATTCTGTGAAAATTCTACAGGATAAATTAGAATAATGATACATCTGTTGAAAGACAAAGAATGATAAGTTTCAATTTTCTATATAATATTTTTTCTTTCTTCAGTATTTGCATTTTTCCATTTGTATCTTTCTTCTCTTTCATTAAATAAAGTTGAAGTTAAATATGATTTTTTTGGCTAATTTATTTTTAATAACTTATCACTCCCAAACTAAAGAAATATTTCAAGAGCTGTCATAAACTAATTAAATGAGTGACTGATAAAACTTATTACTAATTATACAATGATGGTTCAACTTTTGCCTGAAATTTTAGTAATGGTGATAGAGCTGTATGTGTTATGTAGTCCCAATTTATGTTTCTTCTCTAGGAACCCCCTCCACACACTGACACTTTTTCATTGTGTTAGCAATGATGCTATGCTCACAGAATAGAAGTCTTTCAGCTGATCAATCAATATCGTTTATTAGATACTATAAATAGTACATTCCCGGTACCGCATAGCATTGCCAGGATTCGATACAGAGAAATACAATAACATTAAATTGGTAAGTTGTATGCATAAATGGTTATAATAATTGAACAAATATTAAAATATTAAAAGTAATACTGCATGTGTAACATGTTAAAAAGGATAAGTTGTGTAGTAATTAAATACAGCAGATTATTATAAAAAAAAAGGAAGAACATCACAACAACAAATGGTAGGGTAGAAAAACGTGGTTAGTCCCTCGTGGTAGTAGTGGCGATCAGGGCATGTCTGTGTACAAGGTTTTGTAGAAGCAAAAACAGTTCTTTGTTGTTGATAAGCTCATGCTGCTGACAGGGCCATGGTATGTTCAAATTCTTGGCGGCAAGCTCAATAGCAAGCCTTTCCTGTTCGAGGCCAACACATCTGTATAAGTAATGGTCTGGGCCATCAACCTCCCCGCAGGTGGCGCAGAGAGGGGTGCGTTTATTAGCAAACCTATGCAGGAAGCTGGAGAACTTGCCATGGTCACTGATGAATCGGGTGATGTCTGAATCGATGGGGTACCAATGCCTGTTACAGTTATGGTGCTTGAGGATGTCTGGAATAAACCTGAAGGTGGAGTTGCTATGGTTGTGGCACCAGGAATTCTGCCATCGTAGTAGTAGTTCGTTGTAGAGGATGTTTTTGATTTTAGGAAGACTCAGCTTGCAATATGTAGGCTGGAGGGAGTTATCGTTGGCGGCAGTCTTAGCTAGTTGGTCTGCACGTTCATTTCCGATGGTTCTTTGGTGTCCGCGGGTCCAGCTAATAAAGTAGTGGTTGTTCAAGTTAAGAGCAGATTTCTTAATTGTGATGGCAATAGGATGAAGCTTGTTACTGTTGATGTGGTCAATAGCAGACTGGCAGTCTGTGTAGCTTGAGATGCTCTGTTGGTTGTGATTTTCTTTGGCCCAGTTTATGGTCATGTGGACTGCCTTTAGCTCGGCTTGGAAAACTGTGCAAAGGCTATCCAGCCAAAATCCTTGATGATAAATTTCCTGATTATTTTTGTAGACAGCGAAGGCACAGCCTATGTTGTTGTTAATCCAGAGCCATCGGTGTAGATCTTCAGGTCGGGTTCGGTAGGAAGATTTGTGCTGATATGATCGTTGATGTAGGGAGCGGTAAGGTCAGCAACTGGGCTCATTTTTTCGTAACTTGTGGCTGGTATGTCATAGTTGATGGTACTGATGTTGTGACCCATCTTGAGTCTCCAGAGCTCATACTTAGCATTGATAATATCTGTTATAGGTGGTTTCTTAGTGATAACTTGTAAACTACTGTTCGGTGTGGTACGATATGCTCTCGAGATTAGTATGAGACCTTTTTGTTGCGAAGATATTAGCTTCCTGTGGGGGTGCACCTTCTTGGTCGCCCAGCCCCAACTGCCACACGCATATGTAATGATAGGCGTGTATATATAGTCATAGATGATACTCATTGCATTGGAGTTTAGGCCCCATTTCCTGCGGGCTATCTGAGAGAATGCCTGAAAGATCATGTTGGTTCTGTTGGCAGTGTATTTAATGTGGTCATCCCAACTCAGTCGATGGTCCAGCCATATACCAAGATACTTTATGGTCTTTTCCACTTTAATTGAGTGGTTGTTCACGCGTATTGTAGGAGTACAAAGGTATAGGTTAGGTCCACCGGGCTTATTAAAGACCACACACTTTGTATAATTGGGGTTGAATTGAATCTTACGCTGTGTACCCCACTCATGGATCTTGGCTAGTCTCGTTACCCCTTTTTTCTAGAGCCGCTCGAGAATTTCCTCCTATTAGGATAAGGACGTCATCAGCACATGCTGTGATATTGTCCTGTCCGAAATTTTCCTGTAGAAAAGTGTCAAAAAGGAGGTTCCACAGGAGCGGTCCACAGACCGAACCCTGTGGGCATCCACGGACGATGTTCCTTTCTGCGTGTTGTGTTCCTTGTTGGAGATAGGCCTTCCATTTGTGTAAGTAGTCTTTGAGTAGGTAGTAAAGATTAGCAGTTGATTTGCTTTAACTGGAAGAGGATTAGGGGCCACCACGCTGAGTCAAACGCTTTGGAAATGTCTAGACTGGCGGCCAAAACATATTTATAGGTGTCTAGAAGGCGTTTGATGTTCTCGGTGGCATGGTGGACTGCGTCGCAGGAGGAACATTGCCGGCGGAAGCCATACTGTGCTTCACTGAGGATGAAGTTCGATTCTATGTGCCAAGTTAGTCGATTAGTAATGCTCCAAGACTTTCCCAAAGACAGGGAGTAGCGAAATTGGCCTGGCTTCCTTGGGCCTCCCAGGTTTTGGGATGGGAATGATTTTGGCTATTTTCCATTTAGCATGTAAGGTAGCAGTTTGGAGACAGCTGTTGTACATGTTGGTAATTTGCCCAGAAATCAGCCTCCAAATGGCCTTTGCCAGTTTACTATTAATGCCGTCGATGCCAGGCGCTTTATTATTGCTCAGGCTCAAAAAGGCTTGATTGATTTCATGATGGTTGAAATTTGGGGAGTTATCAGTGTGGATTGGAGCATGCATTTCATTTCGAATATGGTGTTGCCAGAAGGAATCATTGTCCAGGCTGTCACTGATGCAGAAAGAATTCATTTGGTTTTCAAGTGTATCAAAGTAGTTACTGCTTGTTGACTCGGCATTGTTGTTAACTAGGATCTGTGTTCTCCTGAGTCTGTTTGTGCAGAGCTTCGTAAGGTAACCCCAGGGATTGGCTGAGGCGACCGTGCAAAACTGTCTCCTCTTTTAGCTGATCAATCAATCAATCTTAATCTTTATTATGTACAAAAGTTAGTACAAAGACTCGGCACCACATAGGCACAACCGGGTGGGGTCAGAACATGTAGGTCTAATAAATGGTACATGGTATGTATAAAGTAACAATAATTGAGTAGGTGATAAGAGAAAATAATAAAATAAAGTTAAAATAAAATAAAATCAGAGTAGCATACGGTACAATACAGTAAAGTACAAAACTAAGTAGTATGACATAAAATACAAAGTAAGATAGGATACAGTACATTACGAATAAAGTACAATAAAGGAGAGGAGTACATTTTAAAAGAATACAATGAATGAGATATATATAGCTATAGAGTCCACAAACAATTTACATTAGCTACAATGAGAAAAAAAAAAAAAATACAATGAGTCAAATATATACAAGTAAAACATACACTGAATAGGGCCATTAATGCAGGAACTGCAGAAGTGGAAGTGGGAGACACAGTGACAAAAACAAACAGTACAATAACGTAGATGCAGAGACGTCCTTAGAGCACTATTCACTTGATTGAGGTACGGCGAAAATAGTTCTTCACAAGGTTCTTGAAGGCTGAGAACAAATTACCATCCTGTAGGAGAAAGCTTTCATGGCAGGGCCAGGTGCTGCCTGTAGGAAGAAAAAGACGAGTCCCTGGAGTCTTCCAGCATAGGGCAGTGAAAGATATAGTGCTGGACTCTGTCCAGAACACCACAATGAATGCACTGGTCGCTGTCAGAGTGACCAAACACCAAACCTACAAAGATAACTGTTGAATCCGCCATGTCCGGTCAGAAATTGGGTGAACAGGTGGGTGTCGTGGCCATCAAAGGTAGGATTAGTGGTAGGAACGTTAGGAAAAAATTTCCATGTTGTCCGACCCTCATGGCAGTTGTTCCATCTTTCTTGCCAGGTGTTAATTGCATCTGTTCTGAGAAGATGCTTAATGAAGGAGGCAGGTGTGAGAGAATAAAGACACATATTAAAAGAGAGACTGGCGGCTTCCCCGGCAAGGAAGTCAGCCCTCTCATTGCCAAGCAGTCCCGCATGACCTCTAATCCATGAGATGGCGAAATTGTTATTAGAGGCAGCAATGCTTGCTTGAATCTTGATGACAAGGGGGTTCTTAGGCAGATGATAATTGATGGCATCAATTGTAGATCTGCAGTCTGTAAAGATGTTGATCCTGTTGTTGCTTTTGTAGTTGTTGCACCACTCAATAGCCATCAAGATGGCGATGAGCTCTGCCTGATACGCCGAGCAGTTTGAGGCAAGATGACCAGTCCCACAGTAGCATTCCACACCATCCTGATACACCACAAACGCACTACCAACATTCTCCTCAGACTTAGAGCCGTCAGTATAGATGGTTAAATCTTCATGGTCAAGAGGCTGGTTTTTGATTTGGGGTCGAAGAAAGGGAGGAAGTAGATCTGACAGGTGGCAATTAGTCTCATAAGAGGTAAATGATGATTGATTGGCCAGACAGATACTGTGACCCTTGCGAACGTGCCAACCTTTGGAAGCCAATGAAATAGCAAGGTCAATAGGCATTTTACCAGAGTTGACCTGCAAGGCAGTCGTGGAGGAAGTAGAAAAGGCGCGGCAGATACAAAGAAGAGCTGTGCGTTGTGCACTACGGAGTTTCCGTTCAATGTGCACACGGCCTAAACAGCCAGCCCACACTGGGGCGGCATAGCAGATCATTGGTAGAAAGACACTGTCATAGATTGTAGAAAGAATAGCTGGGGAAAGCCCCCACTTCGACTTTGCCACCTTGGAGACAGTGTTGAATAGATGGTTAGTCCTGTCGGTTATATAGGCAATATGGTCAGCCCAGTTTAGCTTGTGGTCGATGATGACCCCTAGATACTTGATAGTGGTAGTGATTTTGATAGAAACCCCATCCATTTTTATAGTGGGTGGCCTCCGGTAAAGATGAGGTTTACCGGGATTCGTAAAAACTATGCCCTTGGTTTTGTTGGCATTAAACTCTAATTTATACTTCTTGCCCCACTCAGTAATGTTGTCCATCACTTTTTTGGCCTTGCACTCCAATTTAGAGCGAGAAGAGGCTGCCAGAAGGATCAGAGCATCATCCGCATATGCAAAAATACCATCACAGTCCTGGATGTCAGAAAGGAAGTTATTAAAGAGCTGATTCCAGAACACTGGGCCAGAAATGGAACCCTGTGGGCAGCCTCTAGAAGTCTTTCTCCTGATTTCAGTGTTACCTGAAANAGATCTGACAGGTGGCAATTAGTCTCGTTAGAGGTAAATGATGATTGATTGGCCAGACAGATACTGTGACCCTTGCGAAGGTGCCAACCTTTGGAAGCCAATGAAATAGCAAGGTCAATAGGCATTTTACCAGAGATGACCTGTAAGGCAGCCGTGGAGGAAGTAGAAAAGGCACGGCAGATACGAAGAAGAGCTCTGCGTTGTGCACTACGGAGTTTCCGTTCAATGTGCACACGGCCTAAACAGCCAGCCCACACTGGGGCATAGCAGATCATTGGTAGAAAGACACTGTCATAGATTGTAGAAAGAATAGCTGGGGAAAGCCCCCACTTCGACTTTGCCACCTTGGAGACAGTGTTGAATAGATGGTTAGTCCTGTCGGTTATATAGGCAATATGGTCAGCCCAGTTTAGCTTCTGGTCGATGATGACCCCTAGATACTTGATAGTGGTAGTGATTTTGATAGAAACCCCATCTATTTTTATAGTGGGTGGCCTCCGGTAAAGATGAGGTTTACCGGGATTCGTAAAAACTATGCCCTTGGTTTTGTTGGCATTAAACTCTAATTTATACTTCTTGCCCCACTCAGTAATGTTGTCCATCACTTTTTTGGCCTTGCACTCCAATTTAGAGCGAGAAGAGGCTGCCAGAAGGATCAGAGCATCATCCGCATATGCAAAAATACCATCACAGTCCTGGATGTCAGAAAGGAAGTTATTAAAGAGCAGATTCCAGAACACAGGGCCAGAAATGGAACCCTGTGGGCAGCCTCTAGAAGTCTTTCTCCTGATTTCAGTGTTACCTGAAATAAAAGTAACATACCTATTATTCAGGTAGTCTGAGAAAGCATGGTAAATATTAGCAGGACAGCGAGCCTGCCGCAGCCTCAAGAGAATGAGAGGCCACCAAGCGGCATTGAAGGCGCTGCTAATATCCAAACTAAGCCCCAAGACATAAGGGTAAGACTGAAGAAGAAGTTTAACCTTGTCAGTCATGGCAAGGATAGCATCAGTGGTGCCCTGGCCTTGCCTAAAACCAAACTGTTGGGGGCTAAGAAAGTTATTGGCCTCAAGGTGCCAATTAAGCCTATTGCTCAAGAGACGGTCATAGACTTTGGAAAGAACAGGAAGAAGAGAAATGCAGCGATAATCATTGGGAGTGCAAATGGGCTGATTTCCAAAAGTTGGGAATCAGCCCATTCTAGCTTCCTTCCAAGGATCTGGGAAAATACCGAAATGAAGGCAGATGTTCATAAGGTGGGAGATGATGTTGGGACGGTTAGTCCAAATGTTCTTCACGATACCTGCAGTTAGCCCATCCAGACCAGGGGCTTTATAGAGAGAGAGTTTATTGATAGCCCAGTCAATTTCAGCCTGAGTAAAGGGAGGGGAATCCTCTGTGTCAATGGAGTGGTGAGAAGAGTTCCTAATATTGCTGTGGAAGTCTGAATCTTCTGTTGGATTATCGTCCAAACACACAGAATCCAGAATGGCATTGACGGTGCCCTCAAAGTTGTAAGTGCAACCATCCCCAGTGTTGAGAGTAGAGAGGCATGACTGGTGTTTAAGCTTGTTGGCACACAAACGGTACACGAAACCCCAAGGATTAATTGAGGCCGAAGAACAGAAGTCCCTCCACGAAGAGGTCTTGGCATCCCTTATTGCCTTCTTGTAGGTCACTTGAAATTCCAGGTAACTTTGTTTGAAAATATCTCTCTCAGAGCCCCTGCTTCTTTGAAATAGCTTACGTAATTTATTATTTTTCACCCTTATATCAGCCAGGTTATCGTTCCACCAAGGGACTCCTGAGGCATTAGGCCTACAAAGAGGGATTGCGTGACTGCATGCCTTGTCAATAGAGTTGATGGTGTTATTTACAATGCTGATGGCGGCCTCTCTGGTTGAGACCGTGTCAAAAGTAGGGATGTGAGAGTCCAAGTAATTAAAGAATTTGTCCCAGTTAGCTTTCCTGGCATTGTAACACCTGATGAAATTTCTGCTGACTTTTTCTGCCCCAAGGCCAACAGTGAACTCAATAGCATTGTGGTCTGCTAAGCTGTCGTCGTCAGTGACATGCCAGTTATGAACCCTATTAGAACTCCTTATGCTGGCGATTGTAATGTCGATCCAGGAGCTACCATTGGGCCCCTCGAAGGTAGGACGAGAGTTGGGATCGTTAATACACAACATGCCGTTGGAGGCCAAGAGGTCTTCGAAGGCCTTGCCTTCGCCATCCAACAGATCCCCTCCCAACATGAGAGAATGGGCATTGGAATCGCCACCCACTATGATTTCAGCGTGATCGAACTTCTTGAATGATTCATCCAGGTTATTAACAATTGAATTGTAGAAGTTGCCTTTTTGACAATAGAAGCTCCCAAATATGATTGGATGATTCCCAAGCCTGGTCTCTATCCAGACCATTTTGTCATTAATGACATGCTGATGAAAAAGAACATGGAGATTATTTTTGGGAATAATAATGGCAGCCTAAGGTTAGGAGCCATTGGACTGAATAATAAGGTGTGAGTGAGGGATGCAAGCAACCCTGTTATTCACGCAATATGGCTCTTGAACCAGGACCAGGTCATAGTTGTTCATAACAGTGCTGAGATTAGAAGTGGCATTGATGGACCCCTGGAGGTTTGTTTGCAGAACACGAATTTTTCCTGGATCACTCCCCATAATTAGTTCTCAAAATAAGTTGTGTCTTCATTCTTCTGTAAACATGGCACACTTTGTCAAAGGCATTGTGTGTGCAGTTTCCATTCTTATTTTGCTTACAGTTGGTGCAGGTGGCATCACTGTCTTTTTTAGTACATTCTTTGAAATGATGATGTTCACTGCATTGGCTATAGGTTGCATTTTCTTGCTTACATTGGCTGCTGATATGACCATACCCGCAACATTTATAACATTAAATGATCGAAAAGTGGTCCACAACTGGGCAGCGTACCCACTCAATGTTGATTCACTTTAGGCCCAATAGTAGGTTCCTCACCCAGGGTGAGACATCAACCTACCAAGCCATAGTATTTGGGTCCCGTCCTTTGATTGGAATCTTTACTGAGAATTCTCTGCGGAAGTCCTCCTCGCTGAGATTAGAGTTGACTGCCTCATTCTGGTTAAGTATTGCGTCTATTAATTCATCCCTAGAGAGATGCCTTGGGACATAACCAATCCTTATCCTAGGGTTCTTCCTGGAAGGCACTTGGGTCTTTAAATCAGGAGCTTTCTCCTGTAAAACCTTTCTCAGTTTTTCAATGTCTTGTTTTGTTGTAACATCAATGGTCATGCCGCCCCTGCCTATTTTCCTCATGCCTTTTATGCCTACCTTAAGTTTTGCCAGGTTAATATTTTCTTTGATGAACTGCTTAGTAACCTCTGAACCTTTGGTCTCATCCTGGTCATAGACCAACAAGGTATTGATAGGCGCCTTGGACAGGCGGGGAGTGTTAACCTTGCACTTAAGGAGAATGTCCCTATTAGAGGGAGCAGCGTTACTGTTGGTTTTGATAACAGTAGCATAGGTACAGTTGTTCCCATCTTGGTGGGATGATGATAGACCACCATTAAAGGGACTGGTCATTTCATTAAAGTCTTTCTTGGTTGCAAGTTCAGAAACTTTACGATCAATTTCCTGAATCTGATGGCTAGCCCATCCGCTGTCGAAGAGATCAATGATCTTTTGAGCTTGCCCAATGATGAAGTTGGAATTCTCCCTTGTCCCCATATGTTTCTTTAGGAAAAGTTTTAGATCTTCTAAAATGTCATAAGCCTTAAGCCTAAAAGAGGAGTAAGAATTGTGCTCCCCAGCTTCTGCCAGAGAGTCGGCATAGACGGAGCCATCGTCATCATCTGATATGGAGCCTGTAGGGCTAACAGTTGTCTGAGCCATGGACAATAAGATAACAAACTACAGTCAAGCACTTTAAGACATAATAGAAGAACACCACTGCTGGGCAGCACGGAGATAGGTCTTTTCCAGTAATCCTAAGGTATATCAATTTGGTGGTATCAGCAACATTGGGACGATGCACACTTGCTGTTTCCCAATCAGCTTCACTTGTGTCCGAAGTCTGATGACCCGACGCTATATTGTCGTGCTTACTGTAGTCGCCTTGCTGGAAAAAGTATCTGCAGGGGAAAGCCGCTATGTAATCCAATGGGGATATCCGGTGGAAGGCTGAATCACGAAGATGGAGACCATTGGGCAGAATGATGTTGAGATAATCCACAGAAACTTTGACGACACCAGAGAAGTCTGCGTCAAGAACCAATAAGGGTCCCAGCCACACTCAGCTTGCCAAGCAAAGCTTGGCTAGAATAGCACCAGCTGAAAGCTGGTGAGAACTCTAACTGAGTCAGGTAAGACTTACCTGGTCTTCCCAATTGCAACAAGTGCTGGCAATGACACCTGTCAGCACAGGCAATCCAGAGTGGGGGGGACTAGTCTGTTGCTCAGTGGGTCTCTCCCAGTAATCTAAAAGTAGATGATGGTGTCCACCACACACAACACAGATAGGATGAGTAGACACAACACTGAACACATAACAATGACATAACACTAGTAATCCACAGGGCAGACATCAAAACACAAACATGTATCCAATGTCGACGCCACAGAGAAAACAACAGCAACCTCAGACAGGAGGCCAATATGGCTGATATAAGAGCACAGTCGTGTGCACAGTGGAGGTGATCAATAAATTTCATTTAGAAATTCAGGATCACCTAACCTACAGTCTGAATCTGCCATCATGTAATTATCACATAATTGACCCTTTGAAGGATGCCTTAGAAGACAGAAATTTCATCCAAAATGCTGAAGTTAAAAAATTCAGTATGCAGTGGCTCCGATATTAGACAAAAGACTTATTTTGTAGACATAGCATCAATGCCAAATTGATGGGAAAGTGTCAGAATGTGGGAAGTACATAGAGAAAGAAACAAATTGGATTATGTAACATACAGTTTCATCATTATTACTGAAATTCTAGTCAGAAGTTGAACCACTCTTGAAATATGATCATATGCAGCATTATCATAAAATTATAAACTATCTTATGTTTTTCAACAGAAAGTAATTCTTTGGCAAGAAGATATAATTTTTCAAGCAGATGTTTGAAAAATCCTACACAATTCATATTAATATTTAACTTCAAATAAATTAAACTTTTTTTTATTTCAAAATGAATATTGTAAAACTAATTTCTATTTTAAATGTAAAAAAAAAAATGAATGTGAACATTACAAAATTGAATGCGTAGAAGTACCACAAAACTGTCTTCTTTTAATTCTTAATGTCCTTTACATACTTTGGGAACAAACAGTTCTTATGGCAGAGTCGATCTTCCTTTACTTTCCCTGTCTCAATATGTAAAAATGGTTAAAAATGATTGTGCTGAAAACCTGGGAATATTTTTAACCATTTTTACATATTGAGACAGAGAAAGTAAAAGAAGGCCAACTCTGCCATAAGGTCAGTTTGTTCCCAAAGTGTGTAAAGAACATTAAGAATTAAAAAAAGACACTTATGTGATACTTCTATGCATTAAATTTTGTAATGTATTAATTTCGTCCTGGCATGTTTTAATTATTTTTAATTAATGTTCAATTGTAAGTGAATGTAAATATGCTGTCTTACAGTACTCAAAGTGCCATAGTCACTAGGCCACAACTTACTTTATGTAGAAAATTCTAAATTTACACTTTCAAAATTTGTTAAATGTTTGTCTACGAGGACTAAGCTTATTAATAGGACGCATTGCACTGGTGTTTTGTTTTTGCATGACTGAGGAAATAACTTATTCACAGGAACAAACAATCTTTATTTTCACCTTGTATTTATCAGATATAATACAAGGTGAAAATAAAGATTGTTTGTTCCTCTGAATAAGTTTTCTCCTCGGTTGCAAAAACCAAAACACCAGTGCAATATGTCCTATTAATAAGCTTAGTCCTCGTAGACAAACATTTAACAAATTGTAGAAAATAAGGACATAGAGGCATATGAATTAATTACACTTTCAAAGTTTGTTATGAAATATACAGGGTTACAAATTACAAATGAACCATTGGATTCCAAGTAACTATTTCCAACAATGATTCAGATTTAACAATGAGTGATACATTAAAAAAACTAAAAACTGTCCAAGTTTGTTCTGTAGTCCTCTAAAACAGTGTTTTTCAACCTGTGGGTTGCAACCCACAGGTTAGCAGTTCTAAAAGAAAAACACAAGTGTTTGTAGGTCCTACACTACAATAAGAAAAAAACTACAATCTCAGAGAGAAGGCTGTGCCTGTTTATTTTACAGTACAATTGGCTTTTTGATTGATATTTAGGTCTCAACAGAAAGAAACTTAAATGCATAGTTTTTAAAATCACTGACATAGTTTTAGTATGGCTCTGGGGAGGTTGCCAGAAATTTTTAACTTGTAAAGGGTTATTCAAGAAGATTGAAAACACTGCTCTAAAACAAACTTGGTAACATGATACACATCCAAATGGTAGTCCAGTTTGCCCACATGCATTATAGCATGTCATCCTGGATAGTCATCATCATTGCAGCAGTAATGCAGTCTCAGAGCTCTGCCAAAGATGTGGGCAATGGCAATACATAAACCATGTATTGCCATTGCCCACATCTTTACATACCCCCACAAAAGAAAAGAGGAAAAAAAATCACACAGTATGAGATCTGGGATGCCGTCTGTACAATGAACATCGTTATTGTCATTGTTATTGCAATACCTAGTCCAGCAGTATAGGAGTTCTGCATTCAGATAATGTTGGAATGCACACTATATACTGACTAAGGATGAACACTTCCCGTACTCTACAACACAAAATACCTTCTGCAACATAGTCACCATTTTGACAATGTACATCAAGTTGCTATACCTGGTGTATGTAAGAAAGTCTTCACACACATTTCAAAGTTATAGAGTTCCTATTTCATTTTATGTCTGATGTGGACAATCCAGCTCAATATTTTGGAAGTTAGAGAACTTTAACCTGATAATTCATTTGTCAGATTAAAGTTTTGTAAATTTTTCATGTGAACTTATGTCCTCAGTACATACTTTATAAGTGATTATTTTAATAAAGCTGTTCTTTTATAAAGAATTTTTAATGTATAATTTATTTTCTGTTTTGATGATAATGACTTAATATAGCAGTTTTAGACTAAAGATTTGGGGCATTAATAGAAAGCTGGGAAATAACAGATTCTGAAAAATTATTTCTGTATTTAGTTTGTTTTGAAAAACTATTCATAAAGGATGAAGTAATATCTAGTTTAAAACAGTTTTCTGTCCACACAATTCATGTCATATCAGGCAATATATTTGCCACTATTCTATTGAAATCATTCAAAATACAGTTCTAGATCATCATAATTTAAATTTAATCTCCTCATCTTGCATTTCAAATAAAATGATCTTTGCTCTGTGAATCTGAAAATATCTTGTTTGATAATTCAATGTAAAGTATTTTTAAAATGTATTATTTTTTGTGTATTAAATTATCAAATGTTTCCATTATTTATTTATTTAATACAATAATATATTAAATGAAATTTTTAATAATACAGTGGAACCTGATTAACTTGAATCAGTTGGAGGAAAAAATTTGAACTGAGTTAAAAAGTTTCAAGTTATGGAGGTCTGGCTAAAAATCAAGATTTTATTCATTGGTTTATTAGTGACTCAAACTATCCATACAATATTACCATGGGTCTTATTACGTAGAATCATTGTGTCAATGTGAAACTCTGTGTTGTCTAGAAACTTGAAAACACTTAACCAAATTGTTAAATAAGCTACTGTGAAATGCTTTCCTGAATGGTTGGTCTGTTTATTCCTACACGTTTAGTTAGGATTTTTCTTAAATTGTGATATTTCACACTTAGAATCAATCTGTTTTTTATTTTTATCACAAAAATATCACTCTTTACAATTGTCTTTACATTTTTGAAATTTTGCCACAAAGGATAAAATTTTTTATAAAATCAGACTATAATCATTTTTTAAATGGATTTTTGATAAATTTATTTTATTTATTATATCAGCAAGTCAGAGAAATCCATCAGCAATCAAATAAAACAAAAGGTTCAAAAGAAAAAAAAAGCAGGCTCCAATGGCAGTTACAGTATCTAGGTCACAAACACAGTCTGGAAGCCACCCCCCTGGCTGCTGTCACAAGGCACAATGTTTATTTTTAGTCATACTCATATGTGATTCCCTTGCTTTATAGAAAGTTTCTGCTTATTTTATTTGATAAATGAATATTAATTATTTTCTTTAATTAAAATTCAGAAGAGTTTATGAAAATACTGTATCAAAACCCCATTCAAGTTAAACAGTTTGATGAATTCAAGTTAACCAGTTTAATATGTAATCCTTTTGTTGGATGATCAGGGAAAGAAACTAACTTTGAGAAAATGTGGTTGAGTTATCCTGGTTCAAATTAACCAGATTCCACTATATATCTTAACTTATTAATTTTATAAACTTATTGTTACAAAAATAAATAAATCTAACCTTTATCATAGAAGAATATTCAGGAAAATCCAAAATTTTTTGCATAGTTTGAAAAACAGATGCTTGGAATAATAAAGCAACCATTTTGCAATCCCATGAAATGCGGTGTAACATTTTAAGAATACAATTGTTTGTGTAATCACTATTTTTATTGAAGTTTTTAAATAACATGGCATAAGCACGAACTATTTTAGAATTTGCAAACCTGTAATATTAATCATTTTGATTATTTTTCATTAAAATTTTTATAAGATTAATATAAAATCTAAAATTTTCGAAAGATTATTATGTTTCATCATTGCAGCAGTAATGCAGTCTCAGAGCTCTGCCAAAGATGTGGGCAATGGCAATACATAAACCATGTATTGCCATTGCCCACATCTTTACATACCCCCACAAAAGAAAAGAGGAAAAAAAATCACACAGTATGAGATCTGGGATGCCGTCTGTACAATGAACATCGTTATTGTCATTGTTATTGCAATACCTAGTCCAGCAGTATAGGAGTTCTGCATTCAGATAATGTTGGAATGCACACTATATACTGACTAAGGATGAACACTTCCCGTACTCTACAACACAAAATACCTTCTGCAACATAGTCACCATTTTGACAATGTACATCAAGTTGCTATACCTGGTGTATGTAAGAAAGTCTTCACANTATCTTGACATTTATTGAACATCTCTATACACAAGTAAACAAAATTAGCTTTAATTCAATAATTCTGATATTAAATGACAATCTTATTAAAAAATTTTATGTTTAACAAAATTGAAAGAATACTCAAATGTTAGGACACTCACTTATATATTACTAATCGTAATATTATTAGTAATTTATAATTTGTCAATACTACTTAATAACTAACTTATAAATGTATATAAACTGAATGTATACATCTTTAGTTGTCCACCAGATTAACGTATGGATCAGATTAGACTGATGATTCTTAAAAAGACTTTAAGAATTGTATGACAAAAAAAAAGGTGGAAAAACTTTTAAAACAATTTTGTATTATTAAAAAAGGCTTCAATCACATTTTAATATTAAAAAAAAATTTCAAGAATTATAAATTCCTGATTCTGTGTATTTAAATTTGAGTACACACACAAAATTACATTTTGTAAATTCCTCAATATTTTGAAGTAAATTATATAAAATATTTAATACTTCATATAAAAGTATATAACAGTTATGTTATAAAAGTCACAGTTCAATGACCAATAGCTATTCAAAAGTGCTGAAAGATGATATCACAGAAGTCAAAGTAGCACATTTAAAATTTATTTTTGTTTTAAATATTTGCAATTGTTGTTATAACTTGAAAACTTTAAAATGATTATCTCACCTGGAAACAAAACCTTTAAAGTCAAATTCTTTTTCATATGACTGTACAATTCTTTCTTCCTGTTCTGAAAAATATGTAATATTGTTTCTTTTATACATGTTAAATATTTATTATTAGATAAATTTATATCATATTATCAGAAAATTATCATAAGAAATAGAAAGTTAAATTTATTCACTATAATTAACATTTCAAATTCTGTAAGTTTAATAATTCATTACTGCTATTATTCTATAATCACACTAGGTCTAAAGCTAAATGATTGCTGGATTACATCGGGTTATAAAAATGCTACTAATTATCAGTATGGTGATTACTTGGCTATTAATTAATAATTAGTAGCATTATTATAACCTGATGTAATCTGGCAATTATTTAGCATTAAACTAAAAATAAAGTTATTGAATGTTTAAATTCATGCTAAGTCTGGATGAGTGAAGGCCGGACACCTTGCTCCACTCATCCATAGACCTAACATTGTAAACTTTGACCTTGTATATCTCCAGTCAAAGGTTGAATTTTAAAATACTGTTTCATCATGACCTAGATGGAGATGAATTCAATTTCTATGCAAAAAATGATTTAAATTGGTTAGGCAGCTTCATAACTGTTGCACAAACATCAAAGTTGTTGCTACAAGAGCTCCACTCAATCAAACTAATATTTGCATGTTACTGATCATTAAATACTTTAAAAATAAGCTTTTCCTGATAAAAATTACAATATTTATACAACATTAATTTTTTTTGCTACTAAAAAATTAATTAATTTAGCACTAGAGATAGGCAGAGTTTCCATTTCATAACAACTTTAAATAATTTAAAAGTTGATTAAAGTTAATAATTTAGGAATATCTAATACAGCTTTTTGTTACACTTAAATATTCCCAAATAATTTTTGCCTATTTTGTCTGACAATCTGACAGATGTGTTAGTCATTAAAATCTTATTGAATCCAGTATGAGAGAGAGAGCTTCCTGCTAGATTGGATTAACATGATTTTAATGACACAGATGTACAAGTACAATAAAGCACAATTCATCAAGTGGTAGATAAGCAAAACAAGAGACAAGAGAATATGCAAATGCTGTAACAAAAGTGGTTTTGGTTAAATAAAAACTGATTGAGTCAAAAATTTTATCACTATTTTTATCACAACTACTGTCTTATCACTAGTTAATAATGTGATAAAATTTTCTCAAGTAATGTCTGTTAGCTAAATCAGATGATGATGAAATCGGCTTTTACTTTCTTGACTGGTATAACATAACACAGGAAAGTATTGTAATCATGTCAAATTTGACCCTACGAGCTTTTTGCAAATCTCGATGTTTTGAGACACCTGAATACAAAAAAGTAAACAAAAATGGGAGAGATCCTGAGATTTTAAACAAAACAGACATCAACACACACAGTGTTTGTGGATGTCTATTTCATTTACAATCTCAGGATGGGGGAAAGATTAAGAAAAAAATTTCTCATGGTAACTTGTATATAAGGGACACTGATGCTATTAAATTTTAGAGTACAAAAGTCAAGGGGTAAAGAGACAGAGGAGGGTCATGTGTCATATGTTGAGTGAGATATGACATATTATTGGCATTTACAATATTTTTAAAAACTCATCTCTATTTTCAAAATTAAGCCTTTTTTGCCTTTTTATAATAACCAATAATATAAAACTCATTTTTTAATAACATCTCGTAACAGATGACACCAGACAAATTTTTTTAATTTCATAAATAACTATTTAAAACAATGGAGTCAGATTAATTTTCAATTCTTACTTAATTTTATTGTAGAAAAATACACGAAAAATCAAATTTTCTTTCCTTTCTGACTTACAGAGGGTAGATAACTTCCAAATTCTAAAACATTACATCAATAATGAAATAAAATTAAAGTTAAAAAAAAATAAAAGCAAACCAACTTTGCAGAAAAAGAACACTTTGTGTATTATAAACGACTCAACTGACCAGATACTATGGTACGAATAACTCTTTAATAATACAACTAAACACTTCTACATCCAGCTGGTTACTTCGAGCTATCTCGCTCGCTTTCTCTCCCGCCACCTCGGCACCTCTCGATTACATTTCCTTTGTTTTAAATTGTCAACATATATTATATTACATTTAATGTTTATCTAAATATTCAACACATATTACATCTCCCCCTTCTCTTTTACGGCTGATAATCCAAATACCGTCTTGGGATTCGTATAGGTCTGCCACTACGGGTTTTAGGAAGGTCCTCTTCACCCGGTGGAGAGTTTTGTTNATTTTATATCCTTGTATAATTGAAAATTATAGGGTTTCCTAATGGTTCCCTTTGATTGTCTGTTTGAATGTTGGGAAAATTGAGCAATAGCCCTTGTCAGACTTTCTTTCATTTTGGTTTTGATATAAAACAGAGAAGTGATCGTAAATGTACTATAATTTTTTGTACGGAATCAATAATTCTTGTATTAAATTTCTCGGCACGAAGTAGTTGTTACTATTGATAATAGAATGTTATTTTAAAAAATACAGAGTGTCAAATATCAGTACACACAGAACATTTTCAGGTTCTCTCTTTCTCCATATAAGATGACTAGCAGAAAAAATGTGAATAATTAATGAAGATCGCTTTGAAGGAAATAAATTTTTAAAATATAATTCAACTATGAATAAACCTTTCTGCTTAAAACAATTCAAATTTCTTCAAGATTTAATGAATATAACAAAAATGTCTGGGGAATTTCTGATGAATACATTTGCTCCAATCTCTTAGATTTATTTATTTATTTTCATTCTCTAACTTATACATTAGCATTATGTGTATATCATAAATAAATTTGTATAGATCATACTTTATTCATATATATATATATATATATATATATATGGGGCCTATATATAAGATATTGTAGCAAATGTATTCATCAGAGATTCCCCAGACATCATTAAATCTTCAAGGAATTTGAATTGTTTTGAGTGGAAAGGTTTATTATTATTTATTAGTTGAATTATATTTTAAAAATTTATTTCCTTCAAAGCAATCTTCATTAATTATTCATATATATATATATATATATATTTCAAATCTTATCTCTGGCAATAAAAATGTTAATGATAAATGATTTATGACATTGGTTATTAAAAAAATTCAATATTTTTCAAAAAATATTGAATTTTTTAATAACCAATGAAATTTCAAATATTTTGATATAAATATTCTACAAGAAATAGTAAAGTATTAATGCTTTTTAAAAGTCAATAAAAAAATTGTATAAAAATACTGATTTTGATGACAAAAATGTTTTAAGAAATGCATTTAATTTCATTTTACTGTTTAAAATTGTAATTAATATTACTGAGAAATTGAAACAAATTTATGAAATTTATGATTACAAAGCCGATATTTAATTCATGGATAAGTCATAAATGGGTCGAGGAAAGTTGTTTTAATTAGTTTTTTCCTGTCCACCCAATCCGTTTCCTTTTGTCACGGATTTACTATATGAGAAAATATCAACATCCATATTAAACACTGATATCTAACGAAAATTATGGCTGTAAATTAAAATATAAAATAAATCACCTAACTGTTTTTATTCTAATCATCTGACAACTAAAATATTTTTATTTATTTTTAGTAACAGACTATCTCAGTTTTTTTTTTTATAATGAACTAATAATTTGGTAAAACCAATATAAAAATTACTTCTTTAAAAGACTTCAAAGACCCTTAATGAAACCAAAATATCAAAATTTCCATTGGAATTTTTGTATACAGTATTCAATTTGGCAAACATGGTCAGTGTCCCGGATATGTCAAGTCTTGTCCCTCACCATCGCATCGGACCGTACAACTGTAGGCCTGGTCGAACTCCCGATGAGCCTGAAAAAGGCCTCATAGAACGAAAAGTGCCCATAAAACGAAAAGAATTTTTTTAAAAGTATCAGAAAATTATAAGTTAGTCGAAAGAGAGCACCGTTTGTTCTAAAAGCAATAACAAAGAACATGAGAAACCAAGACACTTTTTTTTTAAATCTTAAAATAAAAAGTTTTATCTTAAAATAATTTATAAATAGGATAATATAAAATCACGTATATTCAATACAATGTTTTAATAACCATTTATATTTGTGCTTATAACATTTAAATTACTAAATATAAATTGAAACAATTTTATTTATTTAAAAAAATATACACAAAGAAATGTGATAAATCAATAACTTTCTTATTTAACTCATTTCTATACTTGAATTAAATAAAACTTAATCTTTCAGTGGATATAAACGCAACTCGTTACGTTAATTCAAGGTCACGTCTTTCCCTTCCGTTAAGTTACGTGCAACGTCCATGTTCATACATTCACAGGAACTTCTACGGTTAGCCAATCAAGTATCAACATTTTAATAATCGTCTAAGATTGTATAAGATGGGATATTTTTCTATTTCAATAATTAGATTTTTCACTTTCAACATGTTGCTTTCCGCCATTTTTCCTCCTCTTGTCATTCCGGGAATGACAGAGGAGGAATATTATACAAAAACACGTGTGAAAACACGATCGGGCAATTTTGATTGGCTGAACCTAAGATTTCTTCCGTCAAAATCGACTCGGGATCGATTCTATCGTAACGACGTCGTTACCCGTGAAATACATTTCTGGCATAGGCTATAAAAACTCCATGTTACGTCACGTCACTTAGGTTACGTATACCTGAACGCAGCTTTGGTTAACACCACGAAAAAAATCCGGAAAACTCCAAGATAGGGCCGTGTTCAGTGGTTAAAGTTTTGTCTTTATTCAAATTCTTTAGTGAAAATAGATATCTTAACATCAACAGAAGAAAAAAGGATATATTAACTGAAAATAATGGAAAAATAACAAATGCATCCAGTTTTTCTATTTATAATAATACTTCATTATAAAACTTGGATATCAGTATTATTATTTATGAAAATTATTTAATATTTATTACCCGAAAAACCCATAATGACGTTATATGAATTACAGTGGTGCCTCGTATAACGTACGCTGCGAATAACGGACTTTCTGTTTGGCCGTTACGTG